CGTGAGTTTTTGTGAATGGGGGATGAAACAGTAGAATATCACTTTTTTCTTCAGTATGCCCTATGCACATCTTCACTAATTTGTCACATCTGCACCCACCAGTAACAGCAAAAACAACAACCACAACCACAACATAAAAATTAATTTAGTGAAACAACACAGAATATAAGTAAAAAAACAACTTTCACCAATAAAAATACTTCTGCTGCCTACAAGGAATGTGTTGATTTCTACTCTTAAAAATGTCGACGAGTTTTGGCTTAAGTCACAGTAATTGAAAATGGCAAAAGGTGAATGTTGTAATTCTTAAGGTGGCCGTATTCCTGGCCGAAAAATAGTGAAATTTCTGGCGTTTTTAGGTACTGAAATCTTTAAAAGTAAAACGTGTAGAACAAAAGTAAGCACAAAAATAAAATCCTTTATGTTTTGTTAATTCATTGTTACCATTTAAATTTACTCAAATAAAATAATAACTAAAAAAAAAGCGTTTGTAAAACATGCCTTTGCTGTTATTCTAACCCCACATTTTAAGAATTATTTTCACGTACTTATAAATAAATGTAAACAATTTTATATGTAGGACTAAGGAAGTAAATGTTATAAGAATATTTACATGTGGAATTATATATAAAAAAGTTAGTATTTTCGTAGATTTCAGTACCTAAAACCTTGATGGTTTGATCGTTTTTTGCACTTGTTTATCCGTTTTACTGCGGCGTCTTTGAAATTACTCAGGTGGCATGACATAACATTCCTATTATTTGATAAGCTTTAGATTATTCAGTTATTAAAAATGTTTGAAATTATTTGTCTTTGCGGAAAACACTATTTAAAGAATATGGGGCCCTTAAACTAAAAAAAAACATTGAGATTCCTTAAATATTCAATTCACGCATTTTTTTAATGATTCGATAATAATTTTTTTCTCACATTGTAACTTCACTGCAATTCACACTTTATAACTATTTTCGTTTATATTAAAATAATAAAACCTTTTTAATTAATTAATTAATTAATTAATTAATATGAAGTTTTTAAATTATTACTTTTATTTCTTGGGTAGGTCCACAATTTAGATTTGTTTCATTAACAGAAATGATCAATAACAGTGGAATAATTAAATTGAAACATTACGTCGAAGAGTATGCATTTTGTATTTAGAATAGAAGTGTAAGTGCCTATAAGTTGCGTTCAAAAAAAATAATAAAAAAGGTAAATATGTATCTATACCTACCTGTAATCATTAAAATTTCTTACATTTTTTTTTATTAAACTCTTTTTCATGTTTTGTAGAGAACTAATTTTAACACAACCGTTTCAGCAATTTAGCTATAATTGTACATACAAATAATGTGAGCTTATATTCGTTTTCGCTACTTTGTTACTCTCTTATCTCTTTCACCGTGCTTTGTATTATAAACAGCTTCCAGTTGTAAAGAAATGTAACAGATGACACGTCTGCCAGTCTGCAACAAAGTAATGATCTTGGCACTTCCACTTGAGCAGGAATAAACATAAACTTGTATATATTTTTCTACATAATCCAGATCCTGTCTAAACAATCACTTCTTGGTTGTTTACTGTTTACCTACTGTTGCTTTAGTTTCAACGAGAAAATGACAAAGTAGATAATAAGACATGAAAACTTAACTTGAAGTTATTTAGTAATAATTATCTCAACCTTTGGAGTGGCTTAAATTAAAATACGTGCAGAAATTTCGATTATTTATGTAATTCACAACAAACATGAAATAATAATAATGGTGAAACTCTTTTATTTCAAACTTATTAATAAGCAAGATCAAACAGAAGAACAATGTTTATTTTTTTTATTTAACTGATTTTCGACATATGTACATGAACCTTGAAATGTAAATCTGGATTTTCAATACGTCTCTGGGTTTCTAGTGCACACGAACGCGTAGTTTAACAAGGGATTTCAATGCAACTTTGTTATAATTTACGTAGGTGTTCCGTTATTGGAACTTCAATAAATACTAATCAAATGTAAAACATAAGAAAAACCAAGATGTACAGGCTATTTCAATTATATCTGTCAAAAAGACTAGACATTCATTTTTAAGGCAAATTTGATATCTTTATTTGTACGCTTTGTAGAGCGGTATTTTATTTATGAATTTATTTTTTTCCATGGCATCCGACAGTTCGTTCCAATGGAGCAGATTCGACAACATAGAGAAAGCAGTGGAAGGGGAAATTATAATTTTGAAAAGAAGTAAAAGAAATGAAGAAAGAATTTGAGAATATTAAAACAAGGCCCGACTATATGACACGAACTGCCAAAATTGAACAATCTCAACAGGTGTAGGCGACCAAAATTAAACTCCCAGCTTACGACGATACATTCTCTTTGCAAACATACAAAAAACAGTTCTAGACTGACAGTGAGAAAGCTACAGTTCTGGTAGTGTCATTGAGAGATGAAGTCTTAGAAGTTTTACAAACTTTAAGCAAAAGTAGATACAATAATTATGACCAACTACTGCAACACTTAGATTGGGTAACCAACACTTGCAATAGGTCTACCAAGCACATATAAAAGAACAAATGAGAGTTTACAACAGTAGGAGGCTTATGTGTTTCGTTTAGTTCACTTGGCGTATCCAACAGCCCCACATGACTTTGTGGAGCAGATAGTTATCCAGGTATTTACTGGCGGTGTTCAAGATTACGAAACACTGCAAGTCCGACGATTAATTAGGTGTGAGACAACCACATGCCACGGAATTTGAGGCTGCACAACAATCATCCAGAGACATACTAGAGCAGGGAATCAGTATGCAACAAATATATTTCAAATACTCTAAGTAAAATACACAGTATGGAAAGGATGTTGGCGGAGGTGAAACGTCAATTTAATATTTGACCTGCCAAAAGTTTTGTTCGACGAGAATCATTTGAATGTTAGAAGTGTGGTGACAAAGACCAGACCAAACGTAGTATTCAGAAGACCGTGTCCCGAAAGATGTTCACATTGCAACCCAGCAGATCCAAAATAATTTGGAAACTTGTCCCGAAGAACAGCAATTGTGACGGACGGACAATGGCAAACTTGGAAACTTCCTGAAGACCAACAGAATAATGAGAGTCTGAAATCGATTATTAGTTGAAAGGAACATGAAATTCCACCAAAATGGACAGAAATATCGGACAATCATCGACGTTAAAAGGTTAGTGGTCAGTATATGACTTAGTCATCGTACTGAAGAGTCAGTGAGGAAGTTTATATGGTAATGAAGTACGAACGCAGCTCTTACTTTCAAGAATGAAGTCAACGAAGTGCTGAGTGGAGTAGATGGAGTAAGTGGAGGACATTTCTAAGTAAATAAGTAAATAAAGTAAGAGAAAGATTATACTGGCTAAGAAGCCGAGCAGATGTAGAAGATTGGTGTCGCTGGTCAGTAGACTGATTCAGCAGCAAGTTATTTAAACATGGTGAAGAGATTTAATGGGAGAATCACCTACGGATAGTCGTCATCGAACATCGAACCCACTGGGACTGACACGTGTCCATTTTTCTATTGGCCTGTCGATCCATGAGATTACCGGGAGAACACCAGCCAGCAAAGTGTTCGGTAGAGAATCGAGGGTGCTCTTCATCATTGTTTTTGGCCATCCAGAAGATGTCATTCATGACAAAATGCATATAGAAAATGAAATTTGAAAGCGATCTGTTGAAAACACGGTACGATCGCAGAACCAACACTATTGGGTTCAAAATAGGAAAGGAGATCTAGTATGGCTGGCTATAAAATCGACAAAGCTCCAAAACTCTTAGGTAGGTCCATGTACGGTAATTAAGAGGATCAACGACGTAGTCTACAGGATCCAGAGAGGGTCCAGAGTGAAAATGAAAGTCGTTCGCCTTTAACGTTTGTCCCAATACCGAGCATTTTTCGGACACCACAAAATTCGAACGTCGGCTTTTATTTTGGGAAAATGGTGGAGGATTGAATTGAAAATGAAAAGAAAAGGGATTTTTTAAGGGTGATTTAAACTCGTTTCATTTTTTGATTAACTTTTATTAAAATTAAACAGTGCTTAACTTAACTTAACAAAGTGAGGCACAATACGCTTCATTAATGACGACATTAAAAATATCTGTTATAAAACTTATACAATTAACAACTCATTGGCATGAATAAAAAAATTCAACGTAATAAAATCAATACAATGGCAAGAATACATTTCCCTTGCTTATATATTTCCAAGAATTATCTGAGGCCTCTATGAAAGCTTACCTACAGCCTAACAGTACAGTAATACATCGAAAGTAAATGTAAAACCTGTAAAGTAACATCTACGTAAAGCTAGCCTCTAGTAGTTAACAATTCACTAGGTTGTCGAGACTCGTTTCTGCTGGTGATAGTAATCGATTCGTTGCAATTAATTTAGGATTATGTTCTGATTTGTCTAAACTAAAGATATGTGCATTATTGAGAAAGTGGCAGTGGCCAACAAAATCTTCTGTATTGAAATTTATCACAATCGTCACATGCCTTTTTCTGCGCTATACATATCTTGAAACGGCAATTTCAAACGAAGTAAGGAACAAGTAGAAGTCAGCCTTAAAACGTAACTCAACTTACTTGATGTTAGAATCTACGCTACACATATAACAACAAACAATATTTAGAGAGTTGGTCTATGAATATATCACACACTCTTAGGTACTGCTTTCTCTTCTGAAGAACTACTATACAGTATATATTTTGCTTTTGTTATAATTTTCTCTAACCTACACAGTCCAAAATATTAAAAAATTTTCTTTTATTAAAATCCCAGTTTAGCTTTTCTACAAGTAATTTTTGATTTTTAACAACTCAAAGTTTTAAATTTTCTTCAAACCCAGCATATATAAATTTCAATACAGCATGACCGCCCAACTTAACAAACGACTGCAGAAATTGGGTTCTCCGTTATACGTATAACGTTTGTTGCCCACTGGCCGCCAGTTGAAAATTTAGATTTGAGCAGTTCCTCCAATGATGCTTTACGAAACAGTGCCATTTTCGTTGGTGACAAAGGAGCAACTGAAAATTAAAAACGACAAGAATAAATAACACAAACATGAATGTATGCATCACTTTTAATTTGTTGGGTGAAAAAATAATAATAATAATAATAAACCAAGGTACATTTCTGGGAAGTTATTGACCAAATCGGATTTTGCTTTATTTACTGACTCGGTTCAAATTAAAAGAAAACATCATTTTTAATAAAAGCTGTGTGTAGTGTTGGGGTGCAAATTAAATTAAACTGATTTATTAATGCATGCATTGTTTAGTTAAAGAAGCAAATTAATGTGTAACTCACTATAATGCAATTGCTTCACTTAATACCTACGGTAGTTTATTCTAGATCTACAGACTCACGACAAGAAGGATGTCATTCATGCTTTAAGGCTATGCGAACCTAGAAAAACTACAAAAAATATTCCATCTACGATCTATACCATTTCATGTACCACACAATTGTTGAAATACACAACTATTCTTTAGATAGTAGATACATTTATATGTCATATTTCATTTTATTTTATTTAGATTTAATTTAGATTTTAACTCACAGGAAAACTTTTTATTTTTATCTCATTAAATTTTTTCACATATGAAATAATAATTTATAAGATTATTTATTTAGGATAAGAGTATGAAATTCAAATCTACTCATTAATTTGTCTTCTAATTATTTTGAATATTTAAACACTATAATAGTTAGAATCTATCATTATTAATTCACATTTTGAGAGTTCATAATTTATTGACCATATATTCTGTATTCTTTAGGTATTATTAATACTATTGATATTAAATAACAAATAAAATATCAGTTACTACTATTTTAAATAACCCATCATATATTCTAGTCTAGTCTACCTTTAACATTAGAGTCTAGAAAACAAAATTTAGACACTCTATAGAAATTTTAGTCCTACCTAGAATTCATGAATTCACTGACACAACAAGGATCAGATCATCGAATGTAGATTTATTTATCTGATTCAACGTGGAAGATGTATCATGTATCACTTCTTTAAAACAATCTATCACTTTTTTTAAAACAATCTGTGACTTTATAATATTCAACACGGAAAATTTTCAGTTTACAACTTTTGAATGAATAGTTTTCATTCCTTTGACTAGTTGAAGGGGTTCAATGTAAGTATTCCAATTTATATTATTTTTTTAGGAGGAAATAAGTTTTATCAATAATATTATACAGGATGTTTGGTAAGTCGATACATTCCTTGCAGGAGGTTATAGTACAAGTAACTTGTGATATATTTCCTTAATATACCATATTCCGAAAACGCTTAGTTTTCGATCTACAGGGTGTTTTTAAGGTTTTCATTAAAAAAATGCAAATTTATAAATATTGCGAAAACCGCTCAGAATATTTTACTGAAATTTTACAGATTCTGATAGTTAACAACAATACATGTTTTACGATAAAAATATTGTTTTCAGTTACACCAGTGGCGTGCGCACAGGCATGTCTCTAGATATTGTTAAAGAAAAAAATGATACATCACCGATTTTTCTTAAAATAAAAATTATTTTTTAATTCTTTGTTCAACTTGGAAGAGAAACGGTATCTCGACTGTTTTTCTTATGACGCACCGAGTAAAAAAACATAAAATCGATTTATCGCATGGCATAATTCGGTTTCAATAATTTGAAAAATAGCAGAAATTATGCTATATATAAATAAATGTATAACATCAATAGCCTAAAATGATTTGGTGCTGATACTTCAACTAATTTAGAAGCTATTTAAAACGACAGTTTGAAAAGATCATCAAGTTAGTAAGGAGTCTAAATTAATTTCTTGTTCATTTTTACTAATTTTGACCAAGGTAGCCCACATAAGTTTAACAGTAAAATACAGAACATAAAAAGTGATTGCGGTATTCTAGGAAACATCTGAGATAAGAACAGTACAACAAGAATAATAATTTACTATTACCCATGTTGTGAGACTAAATTATCAGTGCAAACTGTGAAACGCAATAGTTTACTCTTACACTGAATAATTTTAGTACCACCGTACAAACAAAATAGAGCCGTAAGTTACGTTTATTCTAAACATTAATTCTTACGACTCAATCACTTAAAAAATCCCATTAGCGTAACTAAAAGGTACGTATCAGTTTAAATAATCACATTTATTAAAACGTAGTCACAATGCAAAGACAAACATTTTGAGCATTAACAGAACAGTGTTAATATTGTTAGTAGGATGATGTGTGTGTTAGTTTCAGTAAACAGTCCAAAACCAAATCTAAACTTACATGGGAGGGGATATTTCTGGGAGCCTAATAGATAGAGGCCAGTTTAATAGGATTTACCTTCGAATGACATACAGCTAGACCGTCTGCGCCCGACTTGAACGGCTAAAACAACATGATAGAGACCTTGACTACATCGGCCAAAACTACACATCTGTGTCCCAACGCCTGCTAAATCAGTGAATTTCATCAAACTGCGCTTAGTGCCATTTTATACGAAAGCTTTTTGCATGTTGGTACTCTGCCTCACTCTAATTCGTCTGAAGTAAACAAATGGGCTGGGACAGAGGGGACAAAAACTGCGTTATATCTGCGCAAAGGCTGCCTGCTTTCTGCCACTGAAACTGCACACCTTATCTGTTCTCGCACGAAGACTCTAGAGACAGTCAATTCACTTTGCTTTGAGCTTCTTATGTGACGTAAGAGATAACTTAATGGAATCATTTTCACGATTTAGGTCTTTTTTGTATGTTTACATGCAGAAAAAGCCTAACCTGACCTAACCTATCAGATATTTTTCTTAAATTAGGGGTCAAGAGAAGTGTGCATATCGGAAGCTTCGAACAAACTGAATGGGCTATCTCTAGACTCTCATAATTGAAATTCCTATCTCCATTGGACATATTTTTGGAACATAATCTAGATACATTTGGAAAATCTTTTACGTCCGATTCACAACAGTTCAGACAAACTCTTATTAAATAGTGTATTTGTAGACTCTAGAAATCAATTACACTTAGATCAAGGAATTATTTAATAATCAAAAGAAAATAATAATTTATGTATAATTGGTGTGGTTTTATTTGTCATGCCGATCAACATTACCTTTGCCCAAAAGTTGGATAAAAGTACAGATTGTTAAAGGCATAGTTTTTATTTTAATTCATTAAGTTACTTAAGACAGTTCCGAGTATCAACGTCGTCAGATCTAAGGAAAGGTGCTTCAAGAAGAAACAAATTCGTCGCGTAAACTGTTGTGACAGTACAATAAAAGTAATTAATGTAGTAACAAATGATAAATATGATAACAGATGATAAATCGTAATTAGTCAGATCTGAGTGCGTCGATCGCAATGCCCCCTGGATCCTGACGGCATACAAACGTCAAAATTTGTGAACAACCATCAGCCCTTACTTTAACTTGTTTGTTATAATGCTTAAAACACTGCACTAACTTTTTGAACAAGGCAAGTTTGGCAATACTGAAATATTGGTAGTGGTGTCGCAAATTCGCAAAGTTGTCTTTTAAGAGACATTAAAATGTAAAATTAGGGATAATACTTGTACACTCCCAAACTTGGTGAAGCATTGTTTCCCATCTCCAATTTTTAGAACTATATCTAGAATACTGTTGGACACATAAATACTGTTCAGTGAGATCAAAGTTATTAGAGTAAGTGCAGAGTATGTGTCGAATTTCCGAGACATCGGATAATTTCCCTAAGCTTATGTATAATTTACTACAATTGACTGATTTAGCAAGACTTGAGGCACTTGAATTGTACAGCTGAAAAATAAAACAAACAAATTAAAACATATACGGCTTGCTGACGAATAGTGTTTGGCGCTAAAAATTGAACTAATAAATATAAGCGTATGTTATGGTAAGGGAAACTGTGGCATAAAATATCTCGAGTGTCAGATTATTTATTGAATTGAGTGATAAGTTTACATAAATACAGAGTTTTCGCACAAAATGAGTTGAGTATGTAAGTAATATTAGAGACAGTAAAATAATCATATAAATACAACATTTCTGTTAAGTTCTACAAATACTTTTCAGATATAGGATATGTAATTAACGACCAGAAAAACAGCATATTTGTTACTATTTAATAATATTTTATTCCATGTAACTATTCTATCTATCTAGTCGGGTACAATAGAAGTAGTCGATTATTAAGACGCTTTTTCTAATTATAAGAAGAGAAGAAATTGAACCAAGTTACTGAGCATGTTTAATTATCATATAATAAACATTTGTGCCTACCAATAATTGAATATCAAAAATATATTTGAAAAACAAGAGGTAATGGTTCTTAACGTGTAGCAAGCCCACTCTGTAATATTTAGGTATCTGTGGATCTATCTTTGTTGACATGTACAATGTAAAAAATGTGTGTCGACAACCAGCAATACAAATGGTTAGTGGAAGGAATGACTTAGTGAAGTCATTTATTGTCCGGCTTTTGGAGACAGTGCAGGTAATGTTAAATTTGAACATTTTTCATCACTGAAGTGATATTAAAGATATTTAAACAGAAAACAATTTGTTATTAAATTCGAAACAAACTCCGCACCATAAGGTCCACCTAATTAAAGGTGGTAGGTTACAAATGTTTATTACACTTTTAGATAAAAATATGAGTATATTATGCAAAGTTTAGAACTGGAAAGAATATCTTCTTCCGATTTAAATAGACGTTTTGTACAGCAAGATGCTACTAGATACCTTTTACTTTTATATAATTTGTGGTTGTGAATTTATCTTTATTGAGTAGGAATAAATGACACTGAATGATTTTTTTTTCATCAATTAAAACGTTATTTGCGGCAAAAATGTGAGAAAACCCCCCAAAAAAATTTTTCCATTTTAATGATGATTATGAAGTATTTAAGCTCAAAAAAAACGTAACCCTTATTTTTTTCAAAAGTTTGACTGTTTGAAACAAAGAAACGCTAGATCGAGATGAAACTTCACAGGAATCTTCTGGATATATCGAACTGTAAAAGTCATGCTTAACATTAGTCATTTCGTGAATATTTCTAATTTAGCCGTCAATTTTCTAAAAAACCATAAATTACCTTTTTTCCTGTTTTTAAAAATTCGTGTAAAAGATGAAAAAAAAATCCGAAAAGTTGCGACAGCATGTTATATGAAATTTATTCCAGTTTTCGAAACTGTCCTTCAATTCTCTGTACGACCATTTGTCGCCGAGATATCGATGATTGAAGACAAAATGATCCTTAAAAGTCCGATATTTCAATGAAAAATGGTCATATCGAAATTTAAAACAAAATAAATTGAAGATGAATAAGCAAGCTTCTGGTCCATGCAATGGCTTAGCTGAAGAACATTTTTCCAAGTCCGTGGAAGAAAATTTGCAAAATTTTATTGTGGCTCTATTTCTTAGAATTGTATGATAACCGTAGCTTCTAAAATGCTTATTTTTTAATTCCTGATACGACCATTTTTCACCTAAATACAGTCTGTCAAAAATCACGGAAAAGTTTCGGAAATTCTTTTGACCCTTTAATTTTTTGCATTAGTTTATAGAAATTATCATTATTTTTTACCTTTAGCAGAAAACTTTTTTAGGGACGCCTATGAAACTCATCAGATTTTATTGCTAGGTGTTTTTATACCTGTTCAACTGACTTCGGAAAGACTTTACATAATGCCAATTTGGAATACATAAAATATACGAAGAAATTTTTTATAACAGTACACCCAGTTTATGCTTGGATTATTTCTCCACTTCTTACATATTTATATAATTACCTACGCATTTTGGAAATTTAATTTTAATAAAAGTCGGTAGAATCTCTATACATTTTTATAAAATTTACATTGGCTATTATATTTGCGTACATTCTCTATTAGGTACAGCAGTAAATTTGTTACAACTTGAATAATTTCACATTTACATTCTTTAGAAACTGTTTTGAACTAAACTATTTTTCTACAAATGTCTTTTTTGTTAATACTTTTCTAGAACCGGTTCAATTTTAGGACACAGTTTCACAGAACTTGCTAAAAAAGGTAAATTAACGAAAGTCCAATAACGGAAATAGCAGGATTTGATGAAATGAGGTACACAAAATTATTTTGAACAATACATACCATTCGCGCATATCCAACCAACGCAAACATTGTAAAATAAAATATAAACTCAGTGTATAATCGTGTCTACTGATAGTCGTCGATACTTAAACGACTTTAAAAAAACTTTTTCCGAATAACAAGAATTAATAGTGATACAAACCAGGAAGATATTAAATCGTTATTTATGCTGGGTAAAATTTATTGAAATAATAAGGGAAACGACAATTCTCAGCATCTGGAGATGTAGAAAAACAACACTATTTAGTATTACACGAATAATATAAGTCAATACTGCTTCGAATCACATTATAAGCAGGTAGGTATCATTTTGTATGTTTACCATACAATTATAAATAAAATTTCATGAATGAATTAACTAAAAAATCTGAATAAATAACTAATTACAGCTACATACTGAGACTAGATATTGAATTGAAAATATACTTAAACATTATATTACACAAATAAAAGTTTCTTCTCCGTATTATTTTTATTTCGAAAAGTAAAAAAAATCCGAATTTGAAAATAAACAAGAAAACAACACAAAGATTAGATAGTTTAATTAGAACTAAAAATTCAGAAAAATTAAATGAGCAGTGTATGGATATTTTAACCTCTTTTAAATTGTATGTCTCATTGGCGTGCTAACTCCAGAATAACAAAAGATTTTAATACATGAATCAGTACAGAAGAAAAAGATAAAATCGTTTAATAATATGTTACCCATATTATTGATGACGATATCTGCAGAAGGATCAGGAGAACGGAATGAACCTACTAACTGCTAAGTTGATAGTAAACAGGTATTGTTGTATAGTGAGGTAACCTGTAGAATGCTTTACCAAAAGAAATAATAGCAATAATGATATTAATCATCTGCGTGGAAACACCATGATTTTGACAGAGGAAAAATTATCTGTAACATCAAACAGAAAAAAAAAAATGTTGAGGACATTGGTAAAAAGTTCCACATAATCCAATTTCTTTAAAGATATTAACTGACGAAAACAAAATTGGATAAATTTGACCCGGAAAATGTATTTCCTAAATTTCGATGAATCAATTTTAGAAAGTTATAGGTTACAATCCAATGAAGATTCAATAGAAGAACCAAATCGAATAAACAATATTTCTTTACTGATTTTCAAGGAAGAGTTATTTCTAATTATTAGTTAAGTTTTGGTCGCATGGGTAATTTTTTAAAATGTAATGTACGTCGCAATTATATAAGGTATGAATCGACAATTCAAACAGAAAATCGTCAATTTTACCCAGCACAATAAAAAGTAACGGAACATAACAAGGTAGTCACCAACAAAATGTTATGGGGTATCCAACCTTCAAGAAAAGTTAGACATATCATAACACAATCGTTGCAATTTGTGCATCAAAAAGAGTCTACTTAAACATTACAGTATAATGTTTGCTAAATTATTGCAAAGCGGTGGTGAGCGTGTATGATTGTGGCAGTAGAAGCCTTAATGGTATTGTTAAATATCTATATCAGTGGCAGCAATGTTAAAACTCCAATAAAATTTGGAAAGAGGTACAACGATTTGTTACTTTTACATTTAAAAGTATAATACTTAGTACTATCAAAAGTCCGTCTGAATAAATTCGCCTTTTTAGTACGTCTTTACTTACCGTATCCCTCGCCTTGTAGAAATAACCTGAAAGCTTCACTGACTTTTGCCGGCTGTTCCTCCAGTACCATGCCACAATCCGAAATCTGGAAAAACGAGAAAAATTAGCAGCTTTACAGAAGATATCAATGTAAGAAGACTGCAATTGTGTTATCAACTTTATTCATATCTTAGAAGCATAGTTATTGTTTATGTTAATGGTACAAAGTACTGAAGCAGGATTTACAGGACTAAACAGTGCTACTGAGTACAAGACCTAAAGTAACAGAGATGAAAGAGTCATTGGAACAGCTTACGAAAATAATGATGTAAATGAAGGATGATATGAAGACAGGACAAGGTGAATTAACTTCTGATACGAAGACAGGACAGGGTAAATTAATGACAAGACCGGATGCATTAAGATCTGACAAGAAGATAAGACAGGATGCACTAGTTGCGTTAAGATCCGTAATGGGGATATGAAAGACGAACTCAAGAGTGATGTCAGAAATAAATTTGAAGGTACGAAGAGACAATTAAAGAAACAAGGCAAGGCAAAGTATAAGTAATATGAAGACATGAATATATAACCGATGATGAATTGAAAAATACCATCAAGGTTCGGATAAACTTCAACTCCCAGCTGAGGAAGAGCTCGATGGAGTTAATAACTCGACTGACGTTGACAAAGCTACGGCCCTAATAGTACGATTGAAAAGTGAAGCCTTAAAAGTTTTACAAACTTTAGACGAGGGTAACGATAATCACTATGAGGAGCTAGTTCAACACTTAGAAATAAAATTTAGTAACAAACACTTACAGCAGGTCTACCAAGCACAGCTATAGGGTAAAACTCAAAAAACAAATGAGAGTTTACAATAGTATGAGGCCGATGTAGTTTGTTTAGTTTACTTGGTACATCGAACAGCTAAGCAGGACTTTATGGAGTAGTTAACTGCCCAGGTATTTATTGACGTTATATGAGACTGCGAAAGTCTTGCGATTAGCCAGTGTAAAACAGTCAGTGAAGTGCTGACATATGCCTTAAAATTTGAGTGGAGATCAAAGAATTTGGATGCTTGTCCCAAAGAACAGCAGTTGTGACTGATGGACAATGAGGAAAGTTGATTATTAGTTGAAAAGTTCATGGGACCCGAGTAAAAAATGGACAGAAATATCGCAGAAATCATCAACTTCCAAGGAATATAATCAATAAAATGCTGAGAGAAGTCCATGGTGGAGTGGACTTGAATAAGACTGACAAAAGATAGAGGAACATTCTACTGGCTAGGCATCTATCTGAGATGTAGAATACTGGTGTCGTCAATGTGCTGACAGTTCCAACAGCAACTGATCCATAATCAGAAGTAAAGGCCAGATAAAACGGTACAACCTTGGGGCTACCTTCGAAGGAATTACCGTAGACGTCGCCGTCGCCGGACGTGACAGAATCTGGAAACCATTTTCTCCTGGATGGACTACTTCAGAAATAGCTGGAAATATATTCAATCGGCGTTCCAAGAGACTGCATTCGGATCAAGGGCAAAATTTTTAACCGGATGGGTTCCAAGAGGTATGCCAGTAGATGTACATCAAAAAGACAAGCACAACACTTTTACATCCACAATCTGATGACATGGTGGCGAAAATTTAACTAGACCCTGCACAATTACCCTGCAAACAGTTGACAATGAACATAAAACCGACTGGGACTGATACCTATCTCTTTTCCTATTGGCCTGCCGATCAGCAGTCCATAAGACTACCGGGAAAACACCAACTAGCATAGTCTTCGGTAGTGAATTGAGACTACCCTTCCACATTGTTCTTGGCCTCCCAGAAGATCGAACTAACACATCGCGAGAGAGAGAGTTTTTGAAAGTTAAGTTACAATTTTATTATTAAAAGTTAAACTTGTCAAAGTTTATGACATCTTTGAATAATACATTACCTTCATCCAGGAAGAGTTTGTTGGATCAAGACGGCCATTAAACGTCACGGTGTCGTCCATCTGTGGACTAAACGCACCCGTAATGTTCAATATAGGCATACTCAGAGTGGCTGTCTTCTTTTTCACTGGGTCCGTTTCTCTGTGAATATTTAGATCGTTTCTTCTGATGTAACTGTCGATGAACAATGACAAGTTGGTGGGATTCACATTCCTCTCGAAGTAACTCTTATACACTTGAACCAAGTCGTGATTCCTTTCTTCAGTATGCTGGAAAGTGTCGGATAAAACATGTAGTGCAGTTATAGTCGACTCGCAAAGAATTGAAATTTATTTGCAATAAAAATTAAACTGATCATTGGAAATAATGGATATTCTGCCTTTGTTTACCCCTGTTACATCATTCTCCTTCATTATTCTTTTGAACTAGTCGAACTAAATACCTGTCTTGTAAATTTTTTTTTTTGACTGGAATCTTTCCAAGAATTTTGAAATCACCAGAAATTATTATCTAAACCTTAGGTATATAATATGTGGTATATAACTGCCAACTTAGCAGATAATTTAGGTTCTAATAATATTGGATCAGATATGGAGAAGTGGATGTGGGAATTCCACAAGGCTTTATGCTAGGTTCTATCATGTTTCTGTTATACACAAGTGAACTTGATATGTTAGTTTCCTGTTATGTGATGATACATCTATGACTATTTCTAATCCTAGTGATAAAATGTTAGAATCTAAATGTAATGCTTTATAGAATATTTTAGTTAATTGGTATTTAGTTTACTCTTTATCCTAAGAGTGATTAGATACAATTAATTAGATTTCATAATAGGCAAAACATTGATCAAAATTAAATATTAAAGTAAATGTATATATGTGTTTTTGTATTAATTATATGTATATATGTATATTTAGATACAATTTTTAATTTTTATTTTGAATAATCATTTATTATTACTATTCTTACGAGGTATTGATCGTGTAATTCAACGCTAGTTGTGGCATGTAGTCCATAAAGTAGTTGCTTAGCACACTCGCTTTCATAGAACACTTTTTGACTTCATTTGATGTTTTTTTTTTGTTAAGAATTTGAATCTGTTTAATACCTTTAAAATACAGCAAAATCTACGGCAACCAATAAGAGAACATATGTTTTTTTTATCTGTGTATACACTATTCTCCACAACGAACGAGCATTCAAACAGAGAAAACCACAAGAGCCGATTTGTCAGAATGCAGAGTCTTACCCTTCCGAAGTGGTGCCACATCAAATATTCTAAAACTCCCTGTGTCATACCCTTCGACCGGAGGTGCCTGGCGTTGAGCTTCTGGTAACCCCACTCGATCCAGCCGGCTTGGGTGCTCACACAATTTATCAGGCAGAGAGCGGATACTTGGCTGGGGTGGCTTAATGCAAACCGGCACAAAACATTGGAGCCGGCCCCGACTCCAAATCCTATGAACTGTTTTATACCAAAGTGGGTCAGCACGTAACTAATCTGATTTGCCAGTTCGTCCATTGTCGGGTAAACGTAACTGAAAATATACAGATTTAACTTTTAATGCACTCTATTTGTGTTATTTTTCACCGAGTTTATATGCTGAAAATCAGTAGCGAAAATAGTCATCTAAAAAATACCTTCAACAATTTTATGGAAGACTTATGGAAGAGTCAGCGTTACTTGTTGGTATAGTATGGATTTTTACAGAAAAATGAGACAATAATGTTGCTTGCCTTTTGAAGAAACTGTTAGCATGAACATAAGATGAAATTAGATGATTATATCATAATTCACTTCCCACACTAAGTCAATTCTGTTGAAAGGGTAAATTGTTTTTTCTACACGTTTGATATTCTTTTTGAACGATGTATACAAATTGTGGTGATTGTTAAGGCAGATTTTTTATGCAAGAACAGTTTCATTTTTTATTGTGGAACTTCATATTACTAGTGTATATATCTATATATTGATTCATTTTTTGGTGCAGGTTTACCGAGGCTTTTCACACAGTGTAACTAAGCGGAAAAAGTTCTATAAATGTACATGTGGTAACTAAAGCGTTTGGTTAAACTTTAATGTGACATAAATCAAGAAAAAAAATTCATATAAACGAAACAAATGCTTAATCTTCAAGATAAAGAATATTTGTCTTAAAAGTACATTAACTACATCAATTTGATGGTCATTTCTCATCAAACCAGTTTGACCGAGTTGTGGCTATGCTGGATTCAACCGAATTGGCTACTTACTACTGAAATAAAACAGTAAAAGTGTAAGAGGCTGATTTTGCAGCTAATGACATCGCTTCCAGTTCAAAAAACATTCAATATAACACCGAACCCTCAATTTTATTTAAAACTATAACCAATCCGGTTGGATACAATAAGACGCAAATGGACCGCAATTGTAATCTTAAAACTTAGTATTTTTAGAACTAGTCTGCTATCAGAAACAAAATTACTCCTTAATTGGTGGCCAAAAGATAGGCAAATTGTTGTCCCTTTTCTATTATTTCAAATATCAATACCAATCAGTTAATCCAAATATAATATATTTCTATTAAAGGTCAATCAAGTTTTATTACGACACACTCTGTCACTTCTTGAATAAATCAATTGCCCCTATTTAATAAGTTTGAAGTACTATGAACTTTTAACTGGGCTTAATTTGTTTCCAGAACATGAAAGGTTGGATATTTTCATGTATTTTTATTGTTATATGAGCATTGTTTGAATATGTAACGCTCGTAGAAAACAATACATTTGATCATTAGATTTTTCTTACACTGAAAATTAAGAAAAAAAATACTTTTCAGCAATCAATTCAATGTACACAAAATACGAAGGGTGGACACTTATTCCTTTTATCTTTCTGTAAATACGAAAGTTTTAGGAAATTTTTAAATATTTGTTTTATATCGCAATAACATTTCCTACATCCTTGTCTGTACCATGTTTTCCTAGGTGAAAAATATCTCAATTTTAAGAGAAATAAGTGATATTAGTGCAAAACGCTAACGCATTTTTCTGAATTTAAACTAGAAAAATAATAAATTTAACTTACTCTTCTGGGAGAGTTTGAGCTCCCTCCTCTTGTCCTGGGGCATTCACGTGGTAAACACAGAAATTTTCTAATAATGCTCTCATGTCAATGTAATTGAAAAATGCCTGGAAACTTGAAATATCTGAAAAGACAAAAGTACGGCTAAAACTGAAACCTGCATCCTTACAAGTCTTTAGTTCAATGAAACCGTTATGAAACAGAAGTTCTGTCAAATTATACTCAAAACTACTTCTATCAACTTATTCATGTCAAGCTTTATCAAATTTTTATCTATATAGTTTTACCCTCATACAAGGAAACTAATAAAATGAACAGTTTAAATTGGAAATCTTTTTGTTGTTCATAGTTCTACTCATTCGATTTATTTAATTATTTCTATAATGTACCTATTTTTTTTTATTTACGGTTATTGTAGGGCTATTGGCGAAGATCTGCATGATAAAAAATGACGTAGAAATTTGTTCCTATTTGAGAGCGGCTTAATAAAATATCCAAATAGTTGCGTATTATTTTTTATAAAATCTGAATGAAAATCCTGCTCCTGAACATCAGATTTTCTTTAATATTGTAAATGCAACTAAAAATTTCCAGATTCATTACTAAATGACCTTGAAAATTTAAAAATCTTTATCTGCCGCGCTTTTTTGTTTCTTTCTTGCCCACCTAGGAAAAATGCCACGGGCCTCACTTATTCACAACGTCACGAGTCGCCACTGGTACCTATGGGTCTTATTTTGAACAGTTTTTATTATAACTGCTTTTAATTTATATTGGAAACTGTTTTCTTTTCAAGCTACTTCCATACACGATTATTTCCTGGGAAATGTTATTTTTAACACAGATTTTCCACAATTATGACTATTTAGATGATTTAATTTAACTACTATTAAGTACTAGCATTGTCGTAGGTGGCAAGAAGGCCACCACTTCAATATAATTTTACTGTTCTATTTTACCCATGTCAGAAAGATATTTTAACTTAAGGAAAAGTGGTTACCATCGCCACCTTATACTAAAGAGAACAAAATCTTTGCCTTAATAACGATTACGAATACACTCGACCAGTTTTTGCATTTAAATGAACTGTGTTTGTCACGCAAACGATAAGGTCCATTATGATATAATTTTAGAGCCGAACAACCTTACGCGACCTTGATCCCCTCGAATCTCTTTTACACACTTTGACTTTCTCGGCTTCAAATAACGTTTTTTTTTTCTTTAAATTATCGCCAGCTTTGTTTAAAATGTTTGTGTCAATTAATACTTACAGTTAAGTCCCAAATCATGATACGTCAAAATAGCTGGTTTATTCCTTGAACCTTGAATAGCCACAACAATATTCCCGCGATCGGTTTCCACAATTTCTTCTTGAGCCGAAGAATCATCTCTAGAGAGCGATCGGGCTGAGGGGAATTGCAACTGAATATTTTTCAATTCAATATCGTCCATGCTGTCGGAAGGCATTGTACTAAAAAAACAAACATTTCCCTTAATTATGAAATTTTACGTTTGGGACCTATTTATAATTGTTTTTTGTTTTCAATAAGTGTTTTCAGGAAGATTAGGGAAAAGAATGATGTTTCTATAGATGTTATTTGTAAATTAAGTGACCTTTTGTAGGTTACTAAACAAAAACTAACACAGTTGCTTTTATTTTACATTTATTTCAAACAAATGTTGCATATGCTTCTGGTAGTTAATCTTCATTCAGTCCTCGTATTGCGAAATATCTTCAATCAAAACTCTCGAGTTGAAAAGTCAAAACTACGGAGCACTCGATAAATTACAAAAAATAAAAATAATCCTTTATCAAGAAGCTGCTAAATTCTCAAGCACTCTAAGTCAAAGCAACGTGTGATGTGGTTCTTACCCCAAAAGGGCAGCCTCTTCTGCTATTCCGGAAGCAGGCATTTTTCTGTTTGTGTTAATGTTTGCACTATCAGTCCTAAAACAAAAGGAATAAAAAATAAAAAGAGTAATACAGGTACCTACAGCGATAAATAAGGAAACTGTAGCTAAGGAGGATGATGAATTAATGCGTAATATGGGAGGGTTAGGTTGCATTAGGTTTCCCAAATAACAGCTAGTCATTCTTTCTTTTTCTAAAATTATCAGATCAGTCATCAGAAGCTGGTTGGTTCCACAAAATATTTTTCGAGAAAACTGATTCTTTAAATACTTTTATTTATTAATATAAAAAAAATCACTGCCAACAAAGTAAACAAAAACATGTTTTTGCATGGACAGCTGTGACTTCATATTTAACCCAAAAAATAAACAAAGCGTTTTTAATGGTAGTTTTCTACATTTTGTACAACGAACTTTTGTGAAATAAGAAGTAGTATAGTAATTATCAAATCAATTTTTGAGATGTTATTATCAAATAAATAGTTCTTGTTTACAAGGAACAATGCCAAACATTTTTAGAATATTTTTAAACTTTTGTTTTAAATGTTTCACACGGTAAACAAGTCCAGTGTGAATTGTTACAGAGTTATAAGCATCAAAAACACGCTGGCTGCTGCCAAAAAGTCTAGACCCCACACTAGCCTCTTATTTTAAATTTAACAGAACAAAAAATCTAGGCAGAGATAAACCAAAACATAAATTTAGTTCCATGTGTATGTTCGTGTAAAATTGTATTTCGTGTGACATTTTTTTCAATTGTTATGTCCCCTATGTTATAATATCAGCAATACAGAAAAAATATATGAATAAAATATAACACATTAGTTTTTGAAATGGAAAAATGTAGCATAAAAATTCTTGGGACTCTTATTACTATTATGACGTATGTTTTTTTTTAACCCGGAACTTTCAAATATCTCCAAAAATAAGCACTCTACGAAAATGATGTCAATGAAAAAAATCACCAGTATATCATTTTATGACAATTTTGTTTTATTTATTCTAGAAATATGCATTTACTTAATAAATACTACTACATGTATACAGTGTGTCCTGCATAAGAACCGACACAGAGCAGGTGCATGTACGGGTGTCCAAAATATTGTAAATTAACCAAACTTACCTATATACAAAGTTATTAGCCCTCAAAGTGGGGCCTTAAATTTCAAAAAAAATAATATCTCTGCAACACTTTACCGTAGAAGAACCAAATTTGGTGCATCATTTAGGTATTACTGGTCTTCTTTGACTATGATTTGAAGTTAATTGAACCACTACAAGGCGTTCATTGGGGATGACTCACCCCTAAAATTGTTCAGAACTTTTTTTTCATTGACCGAATTGAAAAATAGTAATATTAATTCCCAACAGAATTTAATTTTAAATTTTTTTTACACTTGTAAAATTTTAAAAAACTTTATGGTTTTCAAGCAAAACCGTGTTGACTGATACAATATTTTAACAGTGTTCATTAAAAAATAATCAAAGTCAGTAGTAGGCTTTATCTTTCAAATTTGACAATTGCCCAAATAAATTTTACTTCACTTTTCTCCTAATTCTACAAAAAGAAAACAAGTACCTAGGTAGTTTTTTAAATAAGCGAATATTGTATTAAGTAAAAAACACAAATAAATAATAAAAATAATAATTGATATTTTTTCAACAGCAATCAGAGGCAATTGTTGAAATAAAATAATTTTATTACTAGCTGGCAAGTTTGAAAGATAAATAATAATAAATTCATTGCCTGCTACTGACTTTTCGATTATTTTCTAATAAACACTGTTAACATCTTGTTTCAGTTAATACGGTTTTTTTTTGAGAATCAGGTTATTTAAAATTTAATAAGAGTAAAAAAATTTTTAAAATTAAATTCTGCTGCGAATTAATATTATTATTTTTCAATTCGGTCAATTAAAAAAAAATCCGTACAATTTTAGGGGTGAGTCATCACCAATAAACACCTTGTAGTGCTTCAATTAACTTTAAATCATAGTCAAAGAAGACCAGTAATAAACTTAAATCATATACTAGATTTGGTTCTTGCAGAGATATTAATTTTTTTTCGAAACTTTGGCCCCACTTTGGAGCTAATAATTCCTCAAGGGTGCAACTTTGTATGTAGGTAAGTTTGGTTAAATTACAATATTTTGGACACCCCTACATGCACCTGCCCAGTGTCGGTTCCAATGGGGGACACCCTGTATAGGATAAACGAGTCATGCATTAAGTTTTCTCTAGAAATATCGATTTGTATACCAGTTAAATCCAGTAAATGGGGTCGGCAATCTCATTTATATATAATTTAATGAAGAGGAAGAAGTATGAATCCTTACTACAGCTAATGAAACCCTGTGCGTGTGTAAAGACATATGTGTCGTGATATCGTGAGATAAAAGGCAAAAAAAGTGTCATTTCTCAAAAACATCTACATACTGCTCATGCAACTTACCTTCCCCTCCTCCTGCTCATTAAAGATCTTTGTAATAACTCTGCAATAGTTCAAACAAAGTGCAACAGTAAGCACAAAAATACACAAAAGTTTATATTGGTTTCCTTACACCAATGCTGCTGGTTTTGCTTGTGTTCAGCACGGAAATAAGTGAACTTATGCTTTATGTACTATATATAGGCTCGTATTATTTAATAATTAAATTGCAGGAGTAGGGACAATTATTATGTTTACAGGAAGAATTTATCAGGATTTTAAAACAGGTACAATTTTCATTCCCGCACTTCAGGCGTTAAGACACGATAATTCAATTTACCTCTTCACTCTGATCTGAAGTGTGGTAACAACAACCAGTACCTATGCTAACTCTCATATACACCTACTTCCAAAAACTGAAAGTAAACATTGAAATGGGGGTATAAATAGAATACTACAATGTTTTTGTTTATGTTGAGGAATATACGCATTAATCCTAACTGATGCTATTTATATCGTATAAGTAGTATAAACAAACATGGAAATTGGAAACAAGCGTATAGATAGATTTGCATTATTATTATTACCCTTTGATGTACTCATATCCTGTCTACACGAAGCACTGAATAAGTTTTTCAACTTTGTTTTGAATTTTATTCATTTGAGTTTCGGTATTACTAGAACTCGTTAGCTTTCACCTTGTAAGCGCATTTACACTCAGACACGACTGTGTGATACGTGACGATGTTCCTCAAAATAAATGGGAAGTATTACATTAAGCCAACATCTAATTATGAGAAGTTTAGCTAATGTACCGGATTAATCAAGATTAAGAAACTAATCTTAGAATAGGTAGTTTGAGTCCCTATTCGGTACCTTAATCTTCGTAGTACAGTTAGTCAAGGCTAATGTCAATTAGTTATTGAGATTCACGCTTCAGTAGTTTTGAAATAAATGTTTAAATATGCGTAAAGTTATGCAAGGTAACGATAATTGTATAATTATTAAAGAATTAAATTACTGTCAAGATGCAAGTTGGGTTCCTGATCTAATTCACATCAAAGCAGCACTTAGTCTCTTAAGTTAGTAGAAAGACGTAAATTATACAGGATCACAACTTATCCAAAAAATTTTGGGAATAGATGCGGCATGAGTCAATATCGTAAAAGAATTTTTGTAAAATCCTCATAGATTCCGAGAAAAAAATTATTTAAGTTGTAGTACCTTCAACCATTACATAGGACAACTGTAGTATCTAGCGTCATTCGTAATACGCGTGGAGAGCCACGTGGCCTCAGCGACTCCGAATACTGAAATCCGATTTTACAGTCGTCGTTGCCTTAGTGTTTACAGTAGTCTTTTAGTAGTTAAAAATGGTTTGCGTGTATAGCAACTCGGAGTTGATGGATATCGTTTTAATTTATGGTAAGTAAGACAACATTTGTGTTTACACCACGGTGGACAAAATTTTGAACAGTTGTAACATCAGGTATGTCAAATTATTTTATTATTTAAAACCATAAATTTATTTTATTAATGAATCTCTTGTTCTTCTTCAGGAATTTGGGTTCTATCACAGAGCCAAAATCAGTCAATCAATCAAGTTAATTTTAAAACCATTTATATTAAAAAATGTATATAACAAAGGGTATTTAGTAAAACCAGAGACGAGATTTATTAAATTGGCGACAAGTATCTTACACCTTTACTGGTACGTACCAGATTGGACAGTGAACATAGATTTAACAAAATTGTCCTTGAATAATTCTTGAAACTAACGACTAAGCATGAACTAATATGTTTTAAAGAAAATTGGCATACAAAAAGTAAGAATTAAAGTTTATGAATGAATATGTATGAATTTATAAAAAATATGTGAGTTAAAGTAAAGCATAAAAAACCTTTCGCAATAAAAAAGCTACGATTGAGAATATATTAGAATGATTGATTCATTGAGGTTTATATCTAGATGCCAGTATTGTATACGTTTAGGCGACAAATAGTCCAAAATTTTTAATGCAATGTGATAAGTGGCAGAAGTACGTACTTCAGATGCTAAATGTACAAATTACATGTTTAAATATTGTCGTCTTGAGACGAAAACAGCGCAATTTCTATGTAAACATGATGGCGTAATAGAATCAATACAAGACCAAAATTTCACAGTTACGTCCTATTGAATTGTGCCCGCACAAATAACACTGGGAAAATTAAAAGCTCTAGCTATATAGTAGTTTATAGGTCAAAGCAGATTTACCGAAAATAGTAGGGGAAATGTTTTAATAGAATATGCCGGCAGGTATTTGTTTTCAGTCAAAGTATCTAGGGCTTTGCTTAGGATCGATTTTACTATACCTCAGAACCCGTAGTAAGTAGAACAATGTTATTTTTAGCACAACATAGAAATATATTGTCTCCTAATAAAACATTAAGAATTCTGCTCCAAATCTAGAAACAAATTTTCTTCGAATTATAATAATAGGAATACCAAAACAAGGTGTTCAAATAATGAAACAAAATTAATAAATAATAATGAATGAATAAAAAAAAATATTTGCCAGTATTTCAATACATATCCAATTTTTCTTGAAGAAGGAGCAACATTTAGGACTCGAACTTTAATAACAATCTTTCTTAATAACAATCTTTCTTTTTCTTTCAATAACAATAACAAAAAACACAAATAACAATCTTTCTTCTTCTTTCTTTAATAACAATCTTTCGATAATTCTAACTTATTCATCTATTCCTACTGCTGTTTGTTAATATCTCGACACTTTTCTGAAACATATATCGATATCTTAAACGTTCTGAATAACCTTGGGTATGAAAAATATAAACTAAAAGAGATAAATTTTTATTAATATAGTAGTACAGAAATGTGCATACGATAGAGCATCAAAAGTCACTGCTGAACTATATTATCTCAGTGGTATCATAGCAGAGACTCTTTAGGCCAATCAAAACAGAGTTGAAAAAACTAATTAAGTAGTTGCTATTTGCTTAAAATATATAGGATACAGATTTTCTTGGGTAATATCTATTCAGTGAGGTTACGTCTTTTGGGTGTTACTATTATTATTTTTTCTTAACTTTTCGTTGTTTCTTCAGAATGAAAGGAAAAGGTGAAATAACAGGACGATGGTGATCATTGGAATAGTTTTATGATCCAAAATAAGTTTAAATTTGATAATCTCTTCTCAAGCAATCTAATCGCGAAAGAAACGTCTAATTAATATATGAAAAATATCTAGAAACAAATGACCAATTTACTAAGAAAGTGAAAAGAGAACTTTATAAAATCTATAAGCAGTTCTTCTTCATCATAAGAACCCCCTACTTGTTTAATTTGTAGTGTAGTGTAGTTAGTGACCTCATGTTGGCAGCATAATCAAATTTTGTTCCAATTTTTATACATCTTTCAGGTTAGTAATTACCTACTAATATTTACGCTTTCGTTCATGTTCAACATTCATGATCCCTTCGCTGAACATACATCTGGGAAAATTACGGTACAGGTTCTGTAATTAATTAAAGCTACCACAAACCATCAGCATGATAAATGAACACCGTCAGTGACGACCACAAGCGCTAGGTAGGGAACCAGCTTAACACTCGCTAAGAGACGAAGCCATGCTACGATACTATACCTGGTGGAAATAACGATGGGCCCCACGGCCCGAGGATCCCTTTGGAGCAGGCGTTCCTCCTTGGTGGCGGCGGCGCCCGAGACAAAACTAAAAGCTTTCTTGACACCATCCAGCAGACCTGTGGCGGTATTCCCCCCCGACACGGTGGTGGAGCGATAGACGTCGCTCGAACCGGTAAGGGATCGGTACGAGCCACTCGGGCTCCCCGGCATATCGCCAAACACGACTAGTCATCATTACATCAATTGTTTCAATATCATCAAGGTACAAACTGAGTCTAATTTTATATAAGTTTGCATTTCTCAGACTGTTAGAACACGAGACTAAAGTAAAATAAAAAATGTGTAATTGTTAAATGACACAGACCGACCAAATTTGAAATCATACACCGATCCGTACTTTTCCGGAGGTTTCTGATACGCTGTACCAAATTTGACCTAAGAATTGCTCCATCACGTCAGGTTTTCGAGACAGTCTAATCTAATGGAAAAAACATAGTTTTTAGCTATAATAGAGGTTATGTTACTTATGAAGTAATGTTCCCTACAAAACTCGTTATCGCATCTGAAAGTACTACCTACTCTTCCCCTTCAAACCCCATTTTGAAGAGTTCGAATCGTTCAGTCAGAATTAAGAAATTCAAACTGGTGGATCCAATATGGAGGATGGCATAAAACAATGTTAGAATGTTAAAATGAGAAACATTTTGTCGAAAACTACATAAAATTTCTAAAAGAAAATCATGAATTTGTCAAACGATGATCATCATAATACTTATTCGTCAACCCTCAAACCAAATAAACTATTCATCGCACGTTTCTGCTATAAACTATTCTAGATTGTTGAAATTGTTGAATCCAAAAGATTTCTGGGATTGTTGAATCCAAATGTAGCATTAGGCTTTCAAAATTCTAGATGGCGGATAAAATATAGCGGGTGATGTAATTCTATAACACCATACCCTTGGGGGTCGACTTTCCATGATGAGCAAATTCGAATACCTATCGACTTTATAGCTCCTTAGTCCCGGGGATCGAATTTCTATGCGCAAAAAGCTCTAATATAGTAGTATCCTGGAACCTACCAATACGCCAAACTAATCAATTTCAAAAAATAATTTCTTGAGACGGAAAAAAGATATTACAATGATTTAAAATGGATTTTGAAGAAGAAGAATAGCAGTTTCAGATGTCATAATGAGTTTTTTGGAGAAAAAATACCTTATGATGTAACATTACCTCAAATATAGCGTGTTTTTCTCACGTTCAAGTTAGGATATCTCTTAAACCTGACGTGATGGAAAAATTATGACGCCGGATTTAGATTCAACGTGTCGAAGACCTTAGATTTGCTATAGTGTAGTTGCTGATTGAGGTCAGTCACATTTTGTGCGTGAATTAAGTTCATCTTGTATTGTGACTTCACAAATCATTGATAAATTTCTTCAGAGCATCTAGTAAAAGTGCCATAAAAGGTTCGCAGTTTCAATTAATGCCTTCGACAAAAAACATGTTTTTTAAGAATTTTACGACCTTGTCCAAATACTCTATCATGTTTGTTTTTTGGACGCTTAAGCCTGAACGGTGCATTCTACGAAAAAGCTCAAGAGATACAAGTTTTACTAGGAAGTGATTTATTCAAGATTATAAAATTTAATTTTGCATTTCACATTTAACCTTTGGAAGATCCTAGAACCCTTTGGAATGGTTTTAGGAAAAATCATTGCACCTGTTTATTTGTTTTAATGAGAAGAAAAATTTACCGGAACGCCTGCAACTATGTATAAATTATATAAAAAAATACATAAAAAAGTAAAATCTACACACTTAATGATCTGTTTCTAGTTTCTAGTTTGAAATTATTGCTTAATTATATTCTTTTACCTAATATTTACACAGAACTACACGTGCAGTTGATTAAATGAAGAAGTAGATTTCCTCATTCCCGCTAGTGGCTACAACCATTTATAAAATCAACCTACCCTTTCTCATTTTCTTATCTTAATATATGCTTATGTGCATGAATTTTATACAATGAAAACTGTTCAAAAAATACATAGGACAGTTAGGTAAGTAGCATATAAAATTCGTATATCATATTTGAAGTCACTTATACAATATTCCAAATACGGAGATAAGGTTTAACAAATGAATTTTAGGCAGAACATTTTAATTTCTATTAAGTAAACATTTTACAATTATAAATAAGTTTTTACAAATTTTGTATTTCCAATTGTATATTTGAAATAAAATCATTCATTGAGGTATAGACAAATTCATTAAATGATATCAGTCACACAGTACAGAGTGTTAACGAAATATATCAACAAACTTTAATGGACGATTATTTGAGTGATTTTAAACCATACAGGTTATATGTATAAATATTGAAGCTTTAGTGGTACGGGATGTTGAAATAAAAAAATGGCCTTTTTTAAAATACCTATGAAAGGGTTTGGTGCAGTGATGAATTTTGCTAAAGGTTTATTTAATTAAACATGTAATTTGGATATAAATATGTGTCTCTTTGGTGAAGACGCCTGACGTCACTTGCATTGATTATCCCAGAAATTTGACCCCACTGGATGATCTCTGTTTTAATAGTATTAGAGTTATTTTACTTTTTGTGAAGTATTTGATAAAGTTATTGAAAGTTAAAGAAAGATAATAAATTGAAAAGAGTTTGTTTCTCGAATAAAATGAAAGATACTTATTTTTTGGAAACACCACAAGCAGCGATCGAATTTTCAAAACAATAAGTGACGTTAAATTTCTGAGATTTTCAGTAAGTGTGGCTCCTGGTACCTGGAATTTAGTGGCATTTTACTTCTAATTAAATAAATGATCAATTAATAGTTTAGAAATGGTGAAATCTCTTTTTAATTTTCTAAACCTAGTATTGGAGATATCCAACATTATAAATTTATGGACCCGTGTTTATATAACCTTTTCGACATAAAATCACTCAGAGTCGCCCCTGAAAGTTTGTCGACATAAATACTTAATTAACACTTTTTAGAGTATTCCAAACAGTAGAAAGTGCTGGCAATTCTAATTGTTCTAATGTTGATATCCTACAAAATTTAATTTCTGGTCAGTGTCGTTACTGGTCGAAAAAAGATATCTGATGCCTGCGTAATTAATTTCAGCATTTCAAATTGTTATTTTCGTATTTAATGGGGAGTTCTGATTTATTTACGTCTCATATGCGAGCATATGAAAATTTGTTAACTAAAACAACCCTGTAGAGCTGTAACAACGTTACTAAGTTACAATTTGATGATTTGATGAATTTAGAAAGTATATATTTGGTATTAATGGTTGCATAAGATGTTGGTACTCAATGGACAATATTATGTTTAGGCCTATTTGTTTAAGTATACTTACGAATATAGTTATATTATCTAATATATTTAAACTATAATTTCAGTAATCTTTTGTCTAATATATTTAAGGATATGTTTGCTAATTTAGAAAGATGTATTTTAATTGTTGCTATAACGCCCTTTGCAATTTGTTGTAACAAGTAGATTACACTATTGTTAATGATCTACAGCAGAAGACATGCGCGAATACGAGAAAAATTTAAACTTTCCAAAATTTACATACTGCGATAATATTGCATGAAAGCAAAATATCAAAAAATATAAATTCTTAGATACATATACCTATGATTACGTGAACAAAATTATACAAAATTAGACTCAATCCCATGCAATGAAAAGCACATACAGCTGAAAGCTAACGTAAATAAACATCGAAATTGAGCGGGTACATGCAAAATTACAAATTTTAGCATGTTGTAGCCTCCAAACTGCAAGTCGAATTTGAAAATACATACGAATTAAACACAAAATCAAAGTGGTAACTAACTGAACTTGTTAACTGATGATGAGAATATTAAATTTTCTTAAAACGTGTGAAATAATTGATATATTAACAATTAGTCTATTGATTTACTAAGAAATATTCCCATTGAGGGAAAAATTGGATTAATTTGCCAGGCAAGTGCAGGATATTGATTTTTTGCTTCAACTTACAGCTTTTGAATGACTACACCCTAAATTCTTGCAATAATATGCTATTCTCGATAATATTTATGTGAATATCTGAGTTCTTACTTACCTCGAATAAAAATTCGTTATATTTATTAAAAATAACAAATTACACAAACACCTACTATTAAATACTTCACTTTTATGACGTTTCCCTGCCTGTAAGTGTTGTAATGCAAAAGGGACTATCATTGGTTGCTAGGTTTGCACGTGACTCGAATGTATTAAATTTGGGTTTCGGTACAGAGGTGGAACGTTGGGGTACAATATTTGGTTTTTAATAATTCATAAAAACCAAATGACATCCCCAGTTTGGATTTTTATTTTGTAAGTGTAAATTTTACAAGTATATTATTCACACCTTCTAGAGCTTGCTAAGGTGCCGTAAAAGTTTATTAATTAAGGTCTTGACGAGTCGCTCATTGCTTGAGACCTGCAACGGAATATTGATTGATGATGTAGCCATTAGATTTGTGGCGCTCTGCTTAGGTGGCACAGTGGCGAACTAAGCACTAAAACGATTTCTATAGTGCGAGAACCGCGTCAATGAAAAGTTTGATAACAGACCACCAGATGGCAGGAGACGAATTAAAATTGTTTCAAAAGGAGTTTCTAACTTCTTTGTTACAGAATGATAATAGTTTGACTTTTGCTGTGTTTCAAGACCATTACCTACTTTTAATTAAGGCAACTGTAAAGGTAAACTTAAAAATGATAATTTTTCTTCATTTAGGCAAATAAAAAGTCTCTATTATTATACAGGGTTATTCATAAACGGTGACCAGAAATGAAACCTCATATTCTTTGGTGAATTTTAAGGGGAGTCTTTACTATAAAGTTTTTTCCTAGGACACTTCGTTAAAAATATACAGGGTGTTAAACTTCAAAATATATTTTTAATTTTTTTAAATAATTTGGAAACTAGTAAGTGAAATAATTTTAAATTGGGCACATGTATTTATGTATTAGTTTAACATCCTGTACCTATCTTTTTAACGTCCTAAATAAAAATTTTATAGGAAAGACTCCCCTTAAAATCCACCAAAGAATACGAGGTTTCATTTTTGGTCATCATTTATCACCGTACTTATGTGGATGAAAAGGTAAAAAAACCGAGATGGCCAAATACAGGGTGTTCTATTTAAAAAAACCTATGTTTATGTAATATCAAAGAAACAGTGCGATTTGTAAAAAATCTGGCTTCCTCATAAAAAATAGAGCAAATAATGTTCAAACTTTTTTCTTCTAAATTTAATGACAACGGAGACAGGTTAATGTAATTGGGCGATTTAAAAAAAGAACCTGTATATCTAGAACTAATCAAGTTAGCGAAGATTTAATGCTACCATCGAAGTAAACGCACAAGAAGAGGGACATCGATATCAGATTTTTTATATCATCGTTTTGACTATATCGTGTACCCTCTAAAGATTGAAGAATACAGTAATATAACCAAAACTTCTGTCAATTTATTTTCTCCAATATTAATTTTATAAAAATTTTTAGAAACTGGTACACAATTGTAAATGTAATTTTTTACTCAACTTTAAAACTATTGTTATACTATGTCGCTCTTGTAACAATTTTCAACAGAACTTTTATTCCAAAAACAATTAAAAAGTGCTATAAAATAAAAATACTTTATCGTTATAAGTCGACAATAAACTGCTACCATATTCTACAAGTATGTACTTACTACATCTCCCACACCAAAATGGTTTAGCCACAGTCTATAAACTTTATGACAATTGCGCCCGTTATTTTCGGTATTTTAACCGCCAATTAGTGCCAACGTTATACTTCACAAATTAAACTGGAACCGATTCTGCCCTTCCAAATTGTTCATTGTACGAAATGAACATTCTTACATCATTCCACTTTAATACCTACTAATTTTAATAATGTAGAGTTAGTACATATTATAAAGTAAACAAAAGATATTAAGATGTAATAATCGAGAGCCTTAGTCAAACAATGATAAAGGAATAACACAGTAACTATATAAAAGCATAAGACAGAAATATATTTTGTTTTAATTAAATCTTCAAACGATATAGTAAAATTATATCTATGCATTTATGCAAGGTGTCCCATATATGAGTCAAAATTTTAACCAGGCATTTACAGTACACACAACAATTATTTTTGTCTAGTAATCTTTTTCGAAAGCCTCTACAGCCACTGCAGCATAATAAATAAACAGAAGTACAAAAATGAGGAAGAAGTGCTAGAATTTACTGTATTGACTAGCAAATGCTTTTAAGATATTGAATCAGTCCATAAAATAGTTGCTTAAATTTGTTTTATTTCAGTGGATAAAAATCCGAATAAAGATATAAGTTTCTGAAAAAATTTATTAGATTAGTTAAATAAACTTTTGGCACATATTTCTGGGACACGCTGTATAGTTGATCCCACCAAATATCGCGTGATCAATATAAGAACAGTATTTTAAGTAATTTCAGTTTTCTTTAAACTATTAACATTTGCAGAACTATCTTTAAATATATTTGTTCATACAGCTTTACTTACCATTTTTGGGTAGTTTAGTTAATTTAAAAATGGTTAGTAGACACAAATGAAGTTGAAAATTTACTTGTAACATCTCAACAACCATGAAAATAGCGAAACTGAATTCTTTCAAAGGAAGAACTCATTATATTATATCAGAATATCTTAGTATATTTGTGTACTTAGATATTGGAGAATATGAAAATTTGTAAAAAAAAGAAAGCAGCTGACAAAAAAAGTAATGAATATTGTATGACCATCACTCTCAGAGTCATCTAAAGATACATTTGAAACCACACAACTATTAATAGATAATAGATGTAAAGTTAGGTATGGAAGGAAATTTTAACAACCAATTTACAAAAAGATACGGGGGGATCAGTTAACGTCCAGAATGAATGATGGTGGGTATAAAGTATTTTGGAAAGAAGAAAATCCGTTACAAACATATCGTCTCAAGAAATTGGAAAGACAAGAAAATTAGAGAGAGCAAGATCAGTTGGGAATTCTTTGAAATGTCTAACGAGGTGCTCCACGATTGTGCAGCTGTCATAAATTACTCAGACAACTACTGTCACAAGTCTTGAATTAACTGATAATAAGACTGACACATCCCCTGAATTGAACAAAAACATTTTGAAAAGATCTTTGAGGAAAGAAGACACTGCTATACAACAGAAAGGGGCAAAGAAACCAGAATTGTCTATATTACTAGCAGTAGCAGAATAAAAATTTAAAGGAAACGAAATAGTAGCAGTAAACTATTTGGACAATTGCATTAGACTCAGATTGCATTCCTCAGATTCAGACTGAAAATATGTTACTTGCTTTATAAATCAATGAATAAAGCAGTTTGTTACACATTTGAATCACCAATTATTTGCAAATTAAAATGTTAAAAATGTATGCATGTTCGTTTGTGTTTATGTGAAGAGGTAATAAATTTACTAAACCATTAAAAATAGGTCGAATGCGGCATAGCGACTTGGTATTCATTTCAGCAATATGAAAAGTCAAGCAACGCTGATCGCAGTTAGTACTTGGAAGGGTGACCATCCAAAGAAGGCTCGCGATGTTCGCCCCCTTCATATGATCTGTATGTTTAGATGTATTCATAGATGTTATACAAATTTAGGCGAGGTTTATATACTATTCTTCGGAAAGGATTTAAAACCGTTGGTCTTTTGTCTACGACAAAGTGGGGGTTCTGCAAAATTTACAGGTTGGGGTTGCTCGTCTCTTGGCGTTTCTAGCCATAGTAGCAAAAATAGGCCAACGTAAAACAACCAAAACGGGAAACGGGAGGGAACCATTAAAAATTTCTCGAGAGGATATGCTGAATCTCTAAGTAGATGAAGTTCTTGAAGCAGTAATCCATCTCAATTTTTTTTTAGATTTTTGCCATACGCTGGCATCATCGGCCGTTCGGGATAACTCTGGAGGAATTGATATTATGGCTTCCATCGACAGAACCAACAACGTTAGAGGAAGTGTCGTTGTTTCTCAGTATATAGGAATCATTTACTACTATTTGTAACTCAGTCCCAGTGAGCCAAACAATATATTTGTCATACAAATTGCGTATTAATTTACAGCAAATTTTAAATTATTTGTAAGTATCGCCCATACTAACCAAAATTGTTTATCAAAAAGACTCCATTCTGAAAACACGAAAAATTTGGGTTATAAATATTAAGTTAGGATAATCAACAAGGCGTTTTTTAATTCCTAAACTTGTGCATCCGTCAGTTATTGACCAAATTCCATCCATGATTAATGTAATCACCAGAATGATTGAAATAAAAAGCCAATCTATCGATCTCTCGCAAAGAAACCCTGTTATTCCGTCACAAAGTAAAAGTTTAATTCCTTTAACGAAACCCCCCTTAAGCACATTTTTCCAACTCGCTAGTGTCCATTTTTCTAATCCTAAACGGCAGATGGGAACACTGCGCGGCAGTTTCCTAAAAGCCTACCTTGTATAGGTGTACTCGCCATAATATTTATGGAGAGCGTAAGATTTTAGGAGGAAGATTGGAAATTGACTTGAAGGCAGTGAACGACTCCCACATGCACACTTTCCGAATTTTATTGCAACTAAGATACATTGTAGGTACGTATCTTATCCAGGTGGTCTCCAATTTATTATTCAACTAATTTAATATTTTTCCGGAAATTTTTCTTAAGTTTTATGCCAGCATTAACTGGCAGATTTATATTTTACATGGCTATAAAAGAGGTATACGAAAAATTCTTAAATAAACACAATTGAGATGTACAGGGGAAGAAGGCAAGTGTGGCCACTTTTCAATTCTACTATCATTTTGAATATACCTTTGATTTTAGGTGGAAAGTAAAATTATTTTGTTAGATTACACAGTCTAAGGAAAAATAATATAAATTCAATGTGTGGCAGACTAGATCACCATATCACCATACTCAGACATGTTTGGGATCGCTGAATCCAAGGCCGGTGTGCATTTGTCGAAGTTAGCTCATATTCAAAGTCATTTTTTGTTTTCAAGAAAATACACGTACTTATTCGGGTAAAGCAAATAAACTCGTTTGAGATATATCGACAGTTGGTTGCCCCTGCAAATATTTTGCTAATAGTAGCTAAAATGTCCTAGCAAAATGTCTCACTTGGTGTCTAGAAC